GGAGGGAACTTGCAGCAGGGAGAAGCAGAGCTCCGTATGAGAACACACGTGACACAAGCAGTACACTGATAGAATTACAGAACCCGCCCCCGGGAGAATAACCCTCATAAATGAGCGTACCCCAAAGTAACGGGCAGATCTGGTAACACCCTGCTCCGCAGAGCCCACCAGGAAAGGAGATGAGCGACAGTGAGCAAAGCAAAGGTAAAGGGCCTAGGCCAGGCCTGCCTGCCCCAGGGGGCTCTGGCATGGGGTTGCCAACTTTCTAATCGCACAAACCCAAACACCCTTGCCCTGCCCCCTGCCCCGCCCCTTCCCTGAGACCCCGCCCCCCACTCAGTCCATCTCCCACTCCCTCCGTCACTCGCTCTCCCCCAACCTCACTCATTTTCACCAGGCTGGGGCAGGGGGGGTTGGGAGGGGTGAGAGCTCCGGCTGGGGGTGTGGGTTCCAGGGTGAGGCCAGAAATGAGGGGTTCAGGGTGGAAAGGGGGCTCCAGGCTGGGGCAGGGAGTTGGGGTGTGGGAGGGATGAGGGCTCTGGCTGGGGGTGTGGGATCTGGGGTGGGGCTGGGGATGAGGGGTTTGGGGTGCAGGAGGAGGCTCATGGCTGAAGCAGGGGATTGGGGTGGGGGGGAGGGGGAGGTGTTCTGGGAGGGAGTTTGGGTGCGGGACAATGCTCAGCGCCGGGGCAATGGGTTGTGGTGTGGCAGGGGACGTGGGCTTTGGCTCCCAGAAGCAACCAGCATGTCCGGCTCCTTGGCTCAGGGGCGGCCAGGTGGCTCTGCGTGCTCCCATTGGCTGCAATTCCCAGAGTCGGCATTTGGGGTGGGGCAGGGGGGCAGCACGCGGAGACCCCCTGGTCGCCCCTGCACGTAGGAGCTGGACATGCCGGCCACTTCCAAGAGCTGCACACAGCCAAGGCAGGTAGGGAGCCTGCCTTATAAAAATAAAAAAAATAATATAGGGAGATATACCTATCTCCTAGAACTGGAAGGGAAGGGTCATTGAGTCCAGCCCCCGCCTTCACTAGCAGGACCAAGTACTGATTTTGCCCCAGATCCCTAAGTGGCCCCCTCAAGGAGGGAACTCACAACCCTGGGTTTAGCAGGCCAATGCTCAAACCACTGAGCTATCCCTCCCTTAGCCCTGCTGTGCTGCCAACTGGACTTTGGCCTATTAAAATCTCCCGGCGTGCCTTTAATAGTCACCAGGAGATTGAGGCCAATTCCAGGAGACTCCTGGCCAATCCGGGAGAGTTGGCAACCTTACTCTGGCATCTAGTAGTCTCAGGATAGACCCTGCCCCTAACCCAGCCCAGCCTTCCCTCACAGGGCTAGCACTACAGGGCCACTCCCTCGCCCAGTCAGCCATGGTTGAACTGGGCTTTTCTTCTTTTAACTGGTCCCTCTGGCCCGCCACACCCCGCAAGTGTAATGGGGCCGAGCGGATTGAGCCCACAGGCTCTCATTAACCTAGGATTACCATACATCCGGTTTTTCCCGACATGTCCGGCTTTTTGGTCCTCAAATCCCTGTCCGGGGGGAATTGCCAAAAAGCCGAACATGTCCAGGAAAATGCTTTGCCAGCATCCCTTCCCCTGTCCCCTGCTTACCTTAGAGCGGCGCCGGCGGTGGCCGCTGCTGCTACTCCCCCCAGACACCTCAGCTCTGTGCAGCTGAAGAGTGGAGCTGCCCGAGCGCTACCGGCTTCACGGTTTGCCGGGCAGCCCCCAGACCTCCAGATCCTGTGTCCCCAGCCGGGCACTTCCCCTCCTGGGCTCCGGCTCCACTGGTGAAGCACCCAGCCAAAGGTGCAGAGTCTGGAGCTCTGGGGGCTGCCCGGCAAACCGTGAAGCTGGTAGCGCTCGGGCAGCTGTTTCGCCTGGCTGGGAGGGAGGAGGAGGGGGAATGCAGGGCGCTTAGGGGAGGGGGCAGAGACTTTGGGGAAGGGGTTGGAATGGGGGCGGAGTTGGGGCGGGGCCTGGGAAGGGATGGGGCCGGGGCCCCGTGGAGTGTCCTCTTTTTAAAATGTTTTAATATGGTAACCCTAATTAACCCCTTTCCCCCCAGCATGGGGACTGTGCCGCCCATCACACCGTCCTGGCCTGGTCCACCATCTCCCTGGGCTGTGGGCTGCAGGTATCCAGGCCCCGCTCTCAGACAGTGGCTCGTTGAAATGCACTCCATGGGCTCCTCTGACGTTTGGGAAGGTAAAGCTGGTGCAGAGCAGAGCAGTTTTCTGGGGAGACAGTTTCGTAGGCAACTGATCTCTGGTTAACCCACCGCTGGACGGGACTGTCCTGCCCACGATCTCTGCAATAGGATGGTGTTGGAGGGCTGGTCTTGGATCACTGGAGCAGGCAGCGTAAACACGCCTGTCACATCGCTGGCTGCATCCAGCACCGGGGACTAAAATCCTGCTCCACTCTGTGCAACCTTGTGGCTGCCACCTCTCCCAGCCCTGGTGAGCCTAACTCCCTCCCTAGACCGAAGACGAGAGGCAGAGCCTCTCCAGTAATGGTCATTCCAACCTGAACAGGCAGGAGCAGCCGCTGCACCCTTAGGAGGATCACGCAGGGATGGGGAACTTTGCCCTGCTTCCTACCCCACACAGCTGCTGTTAGGGAGCCCCCCAGAGCTCTTACCCGGCTAGGGAGTGGTTCTGGGGAGACTATTTTTGTCAATTTCGGCACTGCCCATGAGACCTTGTTATAGGCCATTCCTTGAGGTCAAGAGATGGGCACCATCTCTTCCAGACTCCCAGTCCGCATTCCACAACCTCCCCACTGCACCCTCGGACACGGGAAGAAAGAAATGATTTAGTGCAACAGTGCAGTGGCTTGCTGGTCTACGCTCCAGCGTTCGAAGTGCTGTTCAGTTCCTCTCCCTGGCTGTTGGGCTCCACGTTTCGTAGTGAATCTCCCTTAGCAGCTCCTCCACTCTCACGCCTCTCGGTCGGCTTACAGTTCGGGTTTGGAGCTTTGTATGTTTTCTTTCCCTTCACTCTGCACCTCAGCCTCAAGTCTGATCAGAGCTAAATCAAAGAAAGAGCAAAGAAAAACATCGAGCAGCTCCCCAGTGTCTGGGCAGGGGCAAGCTTTCGTTGATAGTCCAGTTGGCCAAAAAAGTCTCTGGGAATGCCTGGCCTAGGGCGAGTTTTCGTAGCGGGTTGGACTGTTTGGATTCGGGGTGTGATTTATTTTTTTACCAAACTAGTTGTACCAGTACAACTCCAGAGGTGAATGCAGTTCTCTTGGCCTGGAGGTACATTATCCCTGTAAAGTGCTATTTCCCTTCTGTAATCAGGCGTGGACTCACCCCTTCGGCACCTCCTGCTGGTCGTCTCGGGCATTAGCTCACCCAGCCTCCGGAGCGCCCTCTGCAGGCCAGGTGTCCTGCCTGTCATTAGCCCCCATATCCCTCCCAGACCCCGCTGCCCTTGGCTTAGGTGCTGCCCCCCTGGCAGTATCCCACTCTCTCTCTGGGTCTCCCCACCCAGGGGAACCCCCACCTCCTATCCCAGTGTCACCTCGGTTATGGCTACTGCCAGTCACCATCTAGCCCCCGCGCCCTGGGGCAGACGGCAGTCTATCAGCCAATCATCACCGGCAACAAGGGGTTTGGACTGGCTGCCTTTACCCACCCTCAGGCTGCCCCTCTGCAACCCCAATATCTATGTGGGCCTAGAACTGGGCCCTGCAGCCTGGGGAGTTGCTGGCCTAGGGCTTCCCAGCCCTGCCTCACTCTAGGTCCCCGGTGAGCTCCCTGCAGCCAGGCCTATCTCTCTCTCTCCTATCGCAGGGAGACTCCTCTGCTCTGGCTACCCTGGCCTTCTTATAAGGCTGAGTTGCTCCATTTGGGGCATGGCCCCAGCTGCAACCACTTCCCCAATCAGCCGGGGTTTGCCCCTTTACTCAGCCCCAGGCCCATGCAGGGCTTTTCCAACCCCTTCAGGGCTGGAGTGGGCGTTCATCCCGCTACACCATCCCATACAGGAACAGCTCTGCTGCTCTGGTCTAACTGGATTGGTACTGGGGGGTAGGACTGGAGTAACTAGACCAGTAGTGTATAACTTGTCTGTATACCAGTGTGGTCCAAAGTGATCAGGAGGAATCACTGCTAGGACTGGCTCTATTGCCATGACAGACCACCTGCACTGCACAGACCAAAGTCTCGGCCTTGTGGCAAGGGGATAAATACAGCTGAAGTCCTGCTGCGTGACAGAGAGTGCTCCTGGGAGCTGTTGCGTATGATCGTCATGGCTCACGGAAAGTCCTAGAAAGGCTGTCATGGGATGCCAGAATTTGAGGATCGAAGCACCGTAATGCCAGTCAATATGGCTTTATGGGAAACAGATTTTGTCAGACAAACTTGCTATTGTTTTTTAATGAGATTACTAGGCTAGTCTGTGACACTGGCAGACCAGGTGCCAGCTCATGCCAAGGTCCCCAGGTCTGACCTGAACACTGACAAATCCATGGCTGGAATCAGCCTGGCTCCCCTGAGTGTTAGGGCTGTTAAAACAGGTATGAGGATTAGAAGACTGTTTAGACTTTACTGAATGCTGGGGAGTTGCTGCTAGCATTAAGCTCAGGGCATGTCTACACTGGCAGAGTTACAGTGCCGGTGTAGACCTGTAGCTCAGGGCTTGAATGATAACCAATGAAGGGAACTGAATTCCTCCCTGCAACCTCCAGTCCCTCATCCACTCACACCCACACAGCGAGGTGCTCAGGGACCACGGTGGTGGACAGACCGACCACGGGTTGGGACTGATGCTAACTGGTCTATGGAGACCCTCTGAGAAAAGAGAGGGGAGGAACATTTCATTAAGCAATCATCCCTGCTGCAGCTGGGCGAGGTTCCAGCAGGTAAGTTAATAGCATCCAGGGGGCGTGTAGCCTTGGGGCCCAGGCTGTCCCCCTCACACTGCGGGGTCTCCTGGGTCAGAGGGGCTGGTGTGCAGGGAGGTGGAACCAAAGCAGGCAAGTGAGTCGTGCTGTGGGGGCTTGGGATTTATTGTCACCAAGAGCTGGGGAAGACTAGGAGGTCAGCGCAAGCAGGTCCCTCGTCACATGCACCAGCTGGTTACCACAGCCAAGCAGCGAGACGCCCCTGCACACCACGCTGGCTGGAGAGGCTGGGGGTTGGTAACAGGCCGTGCGATGGTATGGCAGAGGGGAGGACGGGGAGCGTGCTCCACTTACACGTGCTCTGGCCCCGATGAGATGAGCGATGTGAGCAGAGCCATTGGCCGGACCTGGGGCGTGTGATCACGGATGAGCTGCCCCACAGCAACCGCGGGCAGTGGCACTCTGGGGCGGATGGGCCTGAGCTTTCTCTGGAAGACCCCTTCCCCTCCCTCTTCACAGAGTGCCCCAGGGTGGGGCCCACGCTTCACACTGCTGCTGTCCCTGATTGCCACTCCCGGGGCCAGCTCAATGGAGTCCAGCAGGTTGCTGGGCTTCCAGGAGACGTGGCTGCTGGGTTCAAGGCTTCTCCCTGTGGAAGGCAAATGCTGAGCTCTCTTGTCTGCGTGTCTCGGACAGACAGCCTGGGCCAGCCTCCCACTCAGCGTGGGCCCCGTGTCCTCCAGCAGCTGCGCGCTAATGAGCTCTCCTACCCCTGGCCCTTGGGCTGCACGGCTGTGGGACTTCGTACTCCTCTGGCCACGCCCGGAGACGGTTTGGAGAACTTCCTGCCGCTTGGCCTCAACGTCTGGATCCAGCACCTCCACCTGAGGCTTGATCCAGCACTTGGGTAGACGGGCTGGGTCCAGCCTGGGCATGGCGATGACTGTACCAAACTCATCATACGTCACACCCCTGATGGTGGGGGGCCTGCCCATCTGGATCTTCAGCAGGTTGCTGCACGACGTGGGCAGGAGCTGGTGAAGGCTGCCAAGATCTTCCAGTGGTGATTCCTCAGGCACGGTCTGTGCGAGCTGCTGCCGGAGCAGCTCCTTCTCAGGCTCCTGTAGGGGCCTGGCCGTGCTCTTCAGGCTGGCTGAACGCAGCAGCCCGCGAGGGGGCCTGTATGCTTTTCTGGTCTTGGGCGAGGGGGGTGGGGCTGGCTGGGGACGCAGATTCTGGGGCCTGGATGACTTTGCAGACTTGACCCCCTTCTCCTGAGACGGCTGTTCTGAGGGGGGGCTTGCTGGCACCTCGGGGGATCCTGTGTAGGACCGCGTCTCCTCATGGGAAAGTGTTTCCTCGGGGAGTTTGTCCAAAGACACCTGTTGGAAATAGCCATTAATGTCAAGAGGAAGCCTCAGCTTCCCAGGCCAGAGTGGCCACCACACCCAGGACAAGCTGTTGCCCACTTAGCAGCAGGGCCTGAGGGCCATTTCTTCATACCCCAGCAAATGGATGGAGGGCAAGAGCCAGGCCACAGTGCAGGGGGGGTTTGGGGTCAAGGTCTTCAGTGTCAGAGAGGGAGCTGGTTGGTGAGGTCAGGCTGGCACATCGCCCCTCCCAGTGGGCAGCCTTGGCAGGACGAAGGGCTGAGCTAACTGTGCTGTTCACCATGCGCCTCCCCTCCACCCCTCCGGCCCAAGCAGCTCCAAGAGACGCTCCACCGGGGGACCTCCTGCAACTGCTGCCAGGTCCTACAGCAAAGAAACCCCTTTCCGTGCACGCGGCGACACATGGGAACGAGCTGGGCCCCTGATCATCCTGTTCCTTTCTAACACATCAGCACCCTGTGACACTGCAGCCCGTATTCTTCATAGTGGTATTGTTCGGATAGGATTATGGCAGGATTACGATGCATATTATGCAAGATGGGTCATGGAGGATGTCATTGAAAAGATTAAGATTGGCTGAATATGATTATCCTATTTGTGGGCATGTATCATTTTTGTATCTGAAGGTATAAATACTGACTATGTATCTGTACTTCAAATGTAGTTACACCTGGGTAATGCCCACTAGACAAGATGCTTTCAGTCTAGAGAGCAGGTGGGGAAGGGCCTATTCAGGGCAATGGGCCCTTAGGAAAAACAACAGGCCTTGGGAGAAGGTTATTCCCCATCTGGGGAACCTTCCTGAGAATGCTACAGACAGCCTGTAAGTAATGGCAGCTGTGACTCTACAAGAACATGTGACCAGACCCCATGACGCTGGTCTCCATGTTGGGATGACAGTGTTTTTCCACAGACTGGTCTGGGAACCAAGCTTTGGAACAAAGGGTTTCCGCCATATGCTAAAGCTCTATAAGGCAGGGAGTGACATCAGCTGGGGTTCTTCACTCCCCACACAAGAAGACCCCTGGCAACACCTGAGGAACAAAGACTGAACTGGGGGAAGTGCTGGACCCAGGCTAAGGGGATTTCTGGCCTGTGTATGAAGGATCTGGGGTCAGGGCTGTCCTTAGGCATACACAGCATACACAGCTCCCTAGGGCACCCGAAAACGTGGGGCACCACTGGGGAAGCAGGTAAGAGCGGGTTGGCTCCCGCACACGCAGCGTGCGCTGCAGTGTCCTTAGGCAGGGGCTGTATTCACAGAGCCGAATGTGCCGGCACGGCGCATTCTGCACGAGGGAGAGAGTATGGGGGTCTCTGTGGGGAACTGAGACTCTCCACTGGTGTGAGGGGCAGGGGCGACTCTAGCTTTTTTGCTGCCCCAAGCACAGCAGGCAGGCCGCCTTCGGCAGCTTGCCTGCGGGAGGTCCCCGGTCCCGCGGCTTCGGCGTACCCGCTGCCGAATTGCTGCCGAATCCGCGGGCCTCCCGCAGGCATGCCACTGAAGGCGGCCTGACTGCCACCCTCCCAGGGACCAGCAGGGCACCCCCCGCAGCTTGCCGCCCCAGGCATGCGTTTGGAGCGCTGGTGCCTGGAGCTGCTGCTGGTGAGGTGGGCCGGGCAGCTTGGTAACCTTTGCTGCCTCATCCCTCCCCCCCAGGCTGCGAGCCCGGGCTGCCGCAGCGTCTGCTGAGCATGAAGCTCAGTGTTTGTCAGCAAGTGGGGGGGGGGGTGTCTTCTGGGGGTCCGTGGGCGGGGGTGGTGGCTGTGCCCCAAGTCGGACACAGGGGCACCAGTTTAATAATACTGCCTAGGGCCCCATAAATCACAAGGAGCCCTGCCTGGGGATTCCAAGCTGCAAAGCAAGTGCAACTTGCCCCTGAGGAATCTGCAGCCTGCTGGTATCATCTCTCAGGGTGAGACTCTGCTATTCAGAGCCAGTCGATCTAGTATATTACGCTTAGTTTGCACTTTTTGTTTATTTCCTAGGTAATCTGCTATGATCTGTTTGCTGTCACTTATAATCACTTCAAATCTATCTTTTGTATTTATTAAATGTATTTTATGTTTTAATCCAAACCAGTGAGCTTTGACTGGAGTGCTTGGGGAAAATCTCAGTGTGGTTACCACAAGTGGGCGTTGTTCTCTTCACATTGAGGGAGAGGTGGACCAGGTATTAATCCCATAGGCTGGCCACATTTGACTGGGGCAGGACGGTGCTGCTCTGGGGCCTAGGCTGGGAAGCTGGCAGTCAGAGAGCCTGCGTGTAACTGCAGCTGGGTGTGTCCCTACCTGTGTGAAGGCTGGAGGGTTTTGCACCTCGTCACAGCAGCATAGTGTGAGAGGGAGCCCAGGCTGGTGGGTCAGAGGCTCAGTGGTACCCCAATTCCAGGTGGCAACCCAGGGGGAACCTGTCACACATCCCTGCATTGGCTGTGTGCCCAACGACAATGGGTCTTTGGCACATGGGACCTGTCGGAAGGGCTGTAGGACAAGCAGGAATTGGGAAGGAAGTATTTACACTCATATACACATGCCATGTTGACTGACTGTCCCATGGTGGCAGGGCCTGCTCTGATGCACATCCAAATCTCAGCATGTCTGTGGAACCTCACTGGCTTGGCTGGTGGGAGCGGATGAGCTACCTCACTGAGAAGGGAAGGGGGAAAGCCCATCATCCATGGGAGGGGTAGGCATACCAGTGCAATTTCTAGGGGTCAGATGACCACAGCACAAAGCCCAGCATTGCTTGACATGCTTATTGACTGGCTTGGCAGAGAGGGGGTGGCTGGAACTCCTCTCTCATCCATAGACAAGATCTCAGAGGTTGTTTGGCTCGAGATGAAGCATCGCATGCTGGGACATGTCATCTCTGCAGGCAACTCCATAGTGAAGAAGGCACTTGCAGGATCTACAGGCCGCAAGGGCATCCTGGTTTCCAGGAAGCTGGGGGGTGGGCTGATAGGTTTTTTCCATGGCATTCATCCCTGTAGATTCCACAACCAGACTGAAGTACTAACCAGATTGAAGGCAGTTTCAGGTCTCATCTCTTGTGCCCTGCCAGGCCCAGAATGCCTGTCAGGACAAGCACTCGGGAGCAGCCTGCTTCCCTCGCCCCACCCCCCACTGACCATGGGCCAGTGCTCCCAAGGTAAGCCCTGGTGCTAGAGTACCTCTCTCTCCTTCGGGAACAGGGTCAGGCTGGTTCGCATGACGGGGACTGAGCCCTGTGCCCACGAGTCTGTGACACAGGCCACTGGCTCTTCCTCCTCCTGCCAGGTGGCATCTTCTTCCACGGTGGCCTCCCCCTCATCCCGCGCCAGGAAGCGCCATTCGGCAATCTGCAGGATGGCATCCCGTGCCTGGCTGATGGTGAACGGGATGCACTGGGAAAGCAGAGCAGAGACAGAATGAGCCCAGCACCACTCACTTGCTTCCTGACTTTGGCTAGAAGTGAGGCAGGAGACCAAGACTCCATCTCAACTCCTGTAGACGCACCCCACCCATCAGTGTGCCCTTGCTGTCCATGCCAACTCTGACTTTGGCCCACTGAATCTAAGGGAGTCCAAGCTGGTGCAGCTCACGTGCCGAGTCAGAAGAGAGGCATGTGGCCAGGGAGGTGACTGTCAGGACGGTGCAGGCTCGGGTACCTTTTCCAACTAAGCAATCTGCATATAGTAAAATAATCCACATTGCACGAAGCTCAGCGCTCCAGAGCATGGACCCAGTCCCGCCCCTGGAGAGCAGAAGCTATTATCTCCATAATGGAGCTGAGAGGCGAGTCGAAGGCCAGGAGGGAGACGCCCATTCTGTTCGGGGTCTCATACCACACCCATCACCATGGTATCTGAGTGCCTAATGGCTGAGGGCAGGAGATGACAGCGCCACCAGTGAGATGAGTGACTCGGGGTGTACTCCGCCTGGGAGCCATTGCCTGGGTGGATGGGAGCATGAAGACTTCTGTGCAAGCAGACAGATTTCCCCTGGGGTTCCAGGAGCTCTCAGCCTGAGGGAGGGGGAGACATACCCAGCTTCGAGCAAGGAGCTGGGCAGCCAAGTCAGGATCACACAAAGGCCACTGCAATAGGAACCTCTTGCCCCATCCCCTCCGGACGCTCCATTTCTAGTGGCCACAGAAAGGGTCTGGATCCCTGCTCTGCTTTCCTTTCTCTCCAGGAAGCAAGCAGCAGCATAGAGCTGCTCTGAGCCAGATGGCCTGGTCCCTCTGGACCAAGCCCTTTCCCCGAAGCCCTTCCATCTGTTTCCATAGCGCTTGGTTTCACACAGCCAGTGTCCTCAGTGGCTCCCTACCGAATGCAGGCAGAAGCCAGGCCCTGCAGCTGGGTCCATTCAGATGTAGTGGGAACAAAGCCCTGGAGAATAGTCCTGCCCTGAGCCCGAAGCTGGGACCATCTCTACCGCTTGGATTCCATGGAAAGCCGCGGCCTGGCACGCTCACCTGCCGAGCCAGGTACACTTTATAGCACTCATCCATCACTTGGTTTATCATCCCTTCCAGGATATCTCCCACTCCATCCTCTCCTTCCTCCATGGTGACCAGGGAGATCCATTCCGACTCAGAGAGGCGTCCTGGGACGATATCCACTTGAGGGATGGGTACTGTGGGGGGGCGTGACTTCTCCGCCCGTGACTTGGAGAGAGGCACACGGTCCCGGGACGTCATTTTCTACAGGGAAATATGACAGTGCCCGTCAGCACCATCCCATTAGCACTGTACTCATAAGGACATAACATAACAAAGGCCATGCTGGGTCAGACCAAAGGTCCATCTAGCCCAGTATCCTGTCTTCCAACAGTGGCCAATGCCCAGGTGCGCCAAAGGGAGTGAACAGAACAGGTAATCCTCAAGTGATCCATCCCCTGTCGCCCATTCCCAGCTTCTGGCAAACAGAGGCTAGAGACACCATCCCTGCCCATCGCTGCACAGTGAGCGGATGTTTTCAGAGAACTATCCACAATGACTCCAAGATCTCCTTCTTGAGTAGTAACAGCTCATTTAGACCCCATCATTTTATATGGGGTCTACCCAGGTCAACAAGCAACATGGGCAACGGGGCCACCAGCTGGGGATAACGCTGAGTGAAGGACCAAGCCAGGGTGCCCCAGTATGGCCTACAGGCCACATGCAGTTCCTGGCACTGTATACTGTGGCCCACAGCCATCCTCAGCTTTAAAATGGATGCAAGGGCCACAGGGACTGTAAGCACGTTGTGCTCTGGAGGCAGTGCTCTGGTGCCTTGCCCATCCACTCCTCACAGGGAGACCAGGGACTGGTGACAAGGATCTGTGCAGGGCTTCATGTGAGTGTTGTTCTGGTATCTCCCAGGCCTGGGAGACAGCAAGGTCTAATGCATCTGAAGAAGTGAGGTTCTTACCCACGAAAGCTTATGCTCCCAATACTTCTGTTAGTCTCAAAGGTGCCACAGGACCCTCTGTTGCTTTTTACAAGGTCTAATGGTTAGAGCAGGGGTCTGGCCGTCAGGACTCCTGGGTGCTGGAACATTCCCCAGGAGGGACTGGGCTCTAGTGGTATTCCCTGCCTTTAGCGCGGGGGACCTTCGCTGGTCACAGAATGCAGGGGGGTTCTGGCAAGTGACGCTGGGACAACGAGGACAAGCAAGGAGGCAGTTCAGTGGGGGCCTGTGGCGCTGGCCTCCCCTCCAGCACCGCCCTGGCTCCCCATGCCAGAGCATGGGGGAAGGGGTCACTGCCTCTCCTGGCACTTTTTATGTGTGACCTTTGAGTCACTGTGTCCTAAAAGCACCCACCAGCACCTCCCTCAGTCACCCCCAGCCATGCCCCTCCCCACCTCCACCGCACCCCTCCCAGCCACCATTGCAGCCCCGCCCCCAGCACCGCCCTCCAGCC